AAAAGAAAAAAAATAAGTTGGATGGCAGACAGTCCTGGTGCATCCTCCATCGAGACATGAAAGGATCCTGCAGGTGAATGGGATCCCAACAGTGGTCTGCTTTGTGGAGACAATGGGTAGACTGCTGGGTGCCAGGGCTGGCGGAGCAGCAGGCGAGTTAATAGGTGGCAGGAGATAGGAAAGTTCTGGAAACAGTGCTAATGGTTGCACCAACAATGCAATGTGCTTGATGTCACCAAAGCGTACTGAAGTGGCTCACGTGGTAAGTTTTACATGCATTTTACCATAATTCTCAAAAAGGAAGGAGCAGGGTCAACTTTATTTACAGTCCGCTCATCCCATATTGCACCAGTTCCAATCCTGCTATTGTGCCTGGGAAAGCAGCGGAGGATGGCCCAATGCTTGGGTCCCTGCACCTAGGTGGGAGACCTGAATAGAGTTTTGGGCTCCTGGCTGGCCCACTTCTGGCTGTTGCAGACATTTGAGGAGTGAGCAGGGAGATTTCTCTTTCTGTCTCTCTCTCCATCTCTCTGTAACTGCCTTTCGAATAAGGAAAATAAGTCTTTAGAGGAAGAAGGGTAGGAGGGAGAGAGCCCGGTCGTCAGGCAACGGACTCAGTGTGAGGACACACTGTCAAGGGTCTGGGCACATCGCACTGATGTGGTCGCCTGAGTCTGCTGCTCGGTGAGGCAGGATCGGTGATTCTTACAGCATCTGAAGAGTCAAGTCCAGGTGTACAAACCCACGCAGGTAGCTCAGACCTGAGAATTTACTGTAAGGGTTTACGGAAAGGTGTCAGAGGATCCCAAGTGCCAGAAGACCAGGGACAGAATGTTCCGCGATGGAGGGAACACTCACGCACGTGGTGAACACTCACGTGAGAAGCTACAGCTTTGCCTGGCAGAGGAAACAAGAATAAAGCAGGTGACAGCTGTGGCTTTCTGGAGCTTGTGCGCTCGCTTAGGACGTGAAGCGTGGGATAGGGGAGTAAGTATGTTGCATGTCAGACGCTAAGGGATGGGCATTTGAACAGAAGCAAGGGGCGAAGCATGGACCAGGCACAGGATACAACAGGCGCAAAGGCCGTGAGGCAGGTGAGGCCTTGATGGGAGTGATGGGGGCCAGTGGGAAGGGTAGTGCAGAGGTCGGAGCAAGTAGTGGAAGTTGGTGGGAGTGAGGTCAGGAGGAGAGGGACAAGGATGGGCAGAGCAGGAAGGGCCCTGGAGGTGGTCAAGTAGTCACATGGCTTTTTGCTGTGGGTGGGGAATGGCTGGCAGGGCCACCCACCAGAGAGAAGGGGGATTATGTCAAAGGCCAGAGGCAGAGAAGGGCAAACCATCCGGGCTTTCCCAAGGCTTGGATCTTGGTGGCATCGGGCAGGGAGGAGGAAGGGGAAAAGGGCTCAGTCGTCCCGAGCATCCTCCCCGTCTTCCTGTTGATTCTGCCACAGACTTGCACTTGAACCTAACAACCTCACATCAGCTTTAGCATCTTGGCCGTTGTCACACACTCCTTCCAACTGGGCCCAGAAGCCTGTCCCGCACTGAAGCAGCTGCCTTGCTGCCACCCCCTCGATGTTGTCCAGGCAGCTGGGTGTAACAGGTCCAAAACTGAGCCCCACACTCACTCGCTGAGAATTCTGGCCTCCCTGTACTCCTCCCCTCTCCCAACTAAAGTGGCTTTCCACTCTGGCTGCCTGAACCATGGCCAGCCACTGTGATCTCACACGCTGAAAATGCTACCACCTGCTAACTGCTCTTCCTCCAGCCCCACCCTGAGGAATGATCCTCCTCTTCCCTCCTCAAGGCCACACAGCTGTACGGGCAGCCTTCACTTTTGACAGCTCCCCTCGGCAAGGCGAGAGAACCACAGTCTGGATTTGCATCCCTTTGGGGGTTAGTGATGTAAGGCCTCACGTTCTATTTCCACGCTGTGCAGCAGCGAGCGCACTCCAGAGACACAGCCGACGCTCTGCTAGAAACTGCCTTGCAGGGCTAGGATGCTAGCATTTAAACACACACGTATTTATTTGAAAGGCACAGTTATGAAGTGAGGGGAGAGAGGAAAGGAAGAAAAGAAGAAAGGGAGGAAGGAAGAAGGGAAGGGGAAGGGCGCACTTCAGTCTTCTAGTTCGCTCCTCAAATGGCTGTAGCAGCCAGGACTTGAGTCAGGAGCTTCTTCCTAGTCTCCCATATGAATGAAACAGGCCATCTTTGCTGTTTCCCAGGCGATTAGCAGGGACCTGGACCAAAAGTGGAGCAGCTGGGACTCGAATCAGTGTGCGTACGGGATGTCAATGCTGAGAGTGGCAGGTTGACCTTGCTGTGCCAAAATGCAGCCACTGCTCCCTCCTCAGCTGGGAAGGCGGAGGCGTGGTGTGTGTGCGGGAGGGGCAGCTGGTGGTGGTTAAGCAGCCTGAATGCAGACTGAGGGAGAGCTTCCCTGGAGGCAGATGTCCCCACCCCACTCACCTTCCCATCGCTCGTCTGAGGGCTCAAAGGGCTGCAGCTGCAGGGCCGGGAGTGCATGGTGTTCACCTGGACCCAGGCCTAATGTGAGTCATCTGGGAGACCTGGGCTGCTTCCTGCCTCTCTCCTCCCCACCCAGGTGTTCAGGGCTCCCCAGGTGATTCCAATGAGCATCCAGGCGAAGGGGTCAGAAACCAGTCCTGTGGGGGCGGAGCAATGCTATAAACCACACTCTACCTACTGAGAGCATTTAAAGCTGATCTTGGGGGCCCTGGAAGCTATAGTTCTCTGCTAGGTAAGTGATGCTGTGTTGTGGTTTGTGGGTGTTGGGTGCGTGTAGTGTGGCACCTTGAGCCCCTTTGTCTGGGTGCTGATTGACCGGGCATGTTGCTCCTGCTCAGGTTGGGAGCTAGGCAACCATCTGGAAGCCCCTTGCCTGCCACAGTGGAGGCGGCCCTCAGGGTCTTCCCCAAGGCTGGGCAAGCCAGGTCTAAGGGTCTACTCGGAGAGGGCCCTGATGAAGCTGGCCTTGACCCACGGACCCTGTGGTAAGCTGATGTTCGGGATGAATAAGGAGGAAATGCAAGTTGCTGTATGTCCACGGGGCTTCCACTGAGGCCAGCTGTGTGTGCTAGCTGGCAGGAGGCCCAAGGGAGCCCATCCTCCTTACGACCGGTAGGTTCCATGGGCCCTGTGGCTCATGTTCCCAGTCCCTGTGGCCTCTCTGGGATGCTTGCACCTGTAGGAATGGTCCCACTGGAGGAGGCCTTGTGAAGAGCCTGGGCCCCCTGGCACCCCTTGTGGCTCCTGGAGAATCCTGGATGAAGGAAGGCCCTTGTTGAATGCTTTCCAGCATGGAATCTAGTGTCTGAAACTCGCAGGGATCCCTCGTACAGGTTGGTAAATCCACTCAGGGAGCCAGAGAACGGTCAAGTGAGCCCCCCCCTTTGAGCCCTGGGCACTGTCCCGCTCCCCATCGTTTCGCAGCAGCTGTGGGTGCTGGGGCAGAGGTCATGGGCTCCTTCACGTTCTCCCTGCTTTCTCCCACCCAGTGTGTGACTTGAACTTGAAACAAATCTGTATTTTAAAAGAAATAGTTTGACTTAAAAGGGGGAGCCAGAGAGACAGAGATCTGTTGGTTCAATCCCAAGATGGTCCCAACCTGGGGAAGCCAGGTGCCCTCCATCCGAGTCTTGCCATGTGGGTGTAGGTGTCCAAGGACTCGGACCATCATGTGCTGCTTTGCCAGGCAGCTAACTAGTCAGGGAGCTGGATCCAAAGTGGAGCAGCCTAGACACATCCCCCAGGTGGGGATGCCAGTGCTGCAGGCAGCAGGTTAACCTGATATACCACCTCAGCACCAGCAGAAAAGAAGGTGTGTGTGTGTGGGGTGGGGGGGGGGCTGTTAAATCTCAGAAAAGCCAAGGGCCTAGAGCAAGAGGCCATGAGTTGTTGTTGGAGATGGGGTGGGCTGGGGCTGTGTGTTCAGGGCGTCACAGGGAGTTTGGGTTTTCTTTTAAACCACTGGGCAGCCAGGACAGTATTTAAGCAGGGAGTTATGTATATTCCCCAAATGAAATGATTGAAGTGGCAGATCCTAGCAACTCAATGCCAATCTTCCATGTCCATGTGTGTGGCATGACTCTTAACAGGGAACGCATGATCAAGAAGCTGAAGGCGAGGAGTGGGGCCAGGGTGTCCAAGTCAGACACTTGGGTGTGGGATGCCTGTGAGTTTTTAAAAGATTTTGTTTTTAATTGGAAAGATTTACAGAGAGAAGCAGAGACAGAAAGATCTTCCTTCTGCTGATTCACTCCTCAAGTGACCAGCTAGAGCTGAGCCAATCCAGAGCCAGGAGCTTCTGGGTCTCCCACATGAGTGCAGGGTCCCAAGGTTTTAGGTCATCCTCCACTGCTTTCCCAGGCTGTAAGCAGGGAGCTGGAAGGGAAGTGGGGCAGCTGAGACATGAACTGGCTCCCAGATAGCATCCTGGAGCATGCAAAGTGAGGACTTTAGCCACTAGGCTATGGCTCCAGGTCTGGGATGCAAGTGTCTTAACCAGCATCTACACCACTAGGCCAAACACCTGCCCCGCAAGATCAGGTGTAGGATCAGAGTCTTTAAAAGATTAGTTGGCCACTGTGCAGAGAGCAGATTCGTGTCAGGCAATGACAGAATATGAGGCAGCAACAGCAGTAGGTGGAAGGTAAAGTAGCCTGGACTGTGTGGGGACAGTCTGCCATGGGCTGGGCAGTGGACTGTGCCGCAGACTATTTGGACCCCATGTGCTGGTGGGTGGGATTTGGGAGGACAGTCACTTCCCTGGTTCCTGTCGGGTTTATGCCACTGTATATAAGGCCCAGCTCGAGCTGGGCTGCCTTTGAAAGGCTCTGCTTACCACGGAAGCCTGAAGCTGGTCCCCTCACGGCTCCTATGGGGCTTACCCACTTCTGAGGAGCGGGCCGGCACGGGGATGGTCCTGAGGGTGTGCCCACGCTGGGCTCTAAGAGGGATTTCCTGGTTGCAGTGACCATGCCTGCTCTAGACGCTCCCGAGGAGAGGCTGAGGAAGTTCAAATACCGAGGCAAAGATGGATCCGTGAGTAGCCAGCAATGGCCACAACCTCCCGAGGACCGTCCCAGGAGAAGGCTTGTGGCTGGAACACGTTAGACAGGGCACGAAGGGATGGGGTGACCAAGAGGGCATCCAGCAATGTGCTCATTTGGATGGGATTCTGTCGTTCACTGGAATGTTCTTGCCACTTTTCTGGATGCAGGAGATTTTCACAAAATGATGAGGCCTGGGAGGACAAAGAAGGGACATGGACCTGGAACACACATGGACACAAATCAGGGTTGTCATGTGATCTTGCCCCGCTCCCCCCCTTTTTTTCATTTTATTAGAAAGGTGAAGCCACCGCTTGTGATGCCAACATCCCATGTTGGAGTGCTGGCTCAAGTTGCAGCCATTGCATTTCAGCCTAGCTTTCCTGCGAATGCAACCAGAGAGGCAGTGGCTGATGGCCCAGCTACCCGGGCCGCTGCCACCCATCTGGAAGATCAGGACAGAGCTTCTAGCTATTGGCTTCCACCTGGCGTAGCCCTGGCTTTTGTGGCCATTCTGGGAATGAGCCAGTCATTGGATGCTTGCTCTCCTTCTCTGCTACTCTGCCTTTCAGATAAGTAAATCTTTAAAAAGGAAAGAAACAAACAAATGAAAAAGGGACTTTGATCTGCTAGTTTGCTCTCCTCATGCCTGCGGTAGTCAGGGTTAGGCCGGGAGGAAAAGCAGCAGTCCATACCTCCATCCAGGTCTCCCATGTGGGAGACGGGGACCCAAGCACCTGAGCCAGCAGCTGCTGCCTCCCAGTGTGCATCAGCAGGAAACTAGAGCTGAAAGCAGAGCCAAGACCAGGAACGAGGCATTCCAACGTGGCATTCCCACGTCCCAAGCTGCGGCTTAATTGCTGTGGCAGACACCTACCCTACTGGGAACATAATGGGAAACCATCACATGAGAATAAAACTTAATCTCCTGCAGCATATTGTTCAAGTACGAGTTTCTGGGACACGACCAAGGCCTGAGCGGCTCGTGGATCTGCTGTTCATGCAGAGGATCTGGGCATGAGATTTCTGACTCACCCCAGCCCCACCTACCTGCCTGGCCACTGCCAGAGACCCCCAGACCCATCCAGGAAGCAGCCAAACTCCTCAGGAACTCACGGGCCTCCTTGAAAATGGGGTGGGCAGACTTGGGGTGACAGGCTGTCTGGCGGAGAGTCTTCAGGCAGACAATGCTGGGCACAAGGACGTGTGTGGTTTTCCTTGACTTTGAGGGAACTAGTTCTTTTCTAGGTATGGAGCAGTGGGAGAGAGGCAAGCAGGAGTGGAGACAGATCACTGACTGGGTGGTCCTGATTCTGCCAGCCTATTGCAGCCACAAACAAAGGCTCAGAAGTGGGTTCGGTGTGACCATCCCGGTCCCTTCTGTCTCGAGGGCTCCAATTGTCTTTGCTTCACCAGATGAGGCGGCACCAGCGCCTGGTGGCTAGCCTGGAGCTCCGGAAGGCCAGGAAAGATGAGCAGGCCTTGAAGAGGAGGAATATCACCAATTTCCCTCCTGGACCAGCTTCGGAAAAGCCTGCCAAAGAGGTGCGTGCTGCTATGCCATTCCCAGCTGTTGTGTGCCAAAATATGCCCTGGGCACGTTTGGTCTGGCCAGAAACAGTGGAGCAGGTTCAGAGCCTGTGAGGTCCGAGCCTCTCAGTGAAGGGGTGGGAAGATCCTGCTTTAGCTTACCTGCCTTGATTGGGCGTTTGCTGGTCTTGTGTTCTGATGGGCGCTGGAGCAGATGGTGTTTCCAATGAAGGGTTCACTCATGGCCCTGGGCCTGGGACCCCGGGAAGTGAGGGTTTATAAAGGTCGCTTCTCAGCAACGGCATCTAGTCCTTCCAAGCAAACGAATGCTGTCTTGTCTTCCTTCTTGAACTGTCTGCTCCAAACTTGCAAAATGCCAACCCCAGGCTGGTTGGCTTCAGGATCAATCCTATTTTTGTGTCAGGCATGATCCTTCTTGGTACTTGAGTGACAATGTCTCTCATTGTCCAGGTGCCTGAATTTACTTGGCATGGTGCCACTCGCACCCTGCTGGGCTTGGGACTCTGGGGGGGCGGTGGGCAGGGATTGAGTCGGTGACAGTACTGGTCCAGTTCTCTGATTGGCCTGTGGCATCAGCACTGCACCTCTTCTAGCTGACTTCCCTTGTGTAGAAGGGTCCTGCCCCTTCCCTTCCCAGTAGTTTATACCATGTTTGGCAGGCTGTATAGCCCTTCCCTCTCGCTGGTTCCAGATAAACCCCAGCCCCGTTCAGCAGTCACTCCGCATTCCTCATACCCACAGCCCGAGGCCGATATTAGTACATTAATACACTTGCTGACTTCATGGATTGATCTACTCTGCGCTTGGCTTCTTACCAGAATTGTTCCAATGTGGGTTTGTGTGTGTGCTGTTGCGGCTTTCGCAGTTCCTTCGTGTTGTAGTGTTGTTGGTACCCTGTGCCACCACGGCCACCATCTCTCCACTGTATGGCTCTGCACGCTTCCTTTTTACCCATTCATCCGTTAGTGAACAATGGGCTTGGGTTTTTTTTTTGTTTTATTGGCTATTATAATCACTGCTGCTGTGAACATCTGTGTATGAGTTTTTGAATGGAAAAATGTTCTTAGTACCACTGGGAGTGGATGGAGCAGCTGATTTTCTGGGTTATGTGCAGATTCCATGTTTAACTCTTTGTGGTAGGCAAAATAATGCCCTCCCCTTCAAGTTTCTGCAGAGCAATTCCCAGAAACTGTGACTGCTGTCATCTTGTGGACCTTGAAGAATGCAGTTAAGTTCAGGCTCCTGAGATGGAGAGATTGCCCTGGCTTGTCTGGTGGGCCTGCACCATCACAGCCGTCTCAGGGCTGAAGAGGGAGACAGCAGAAAGCACCGTGATGACGGGGCCGTGAGCCAGGGAAACCGGCCTTGGAGAAAGCTGAAGAAGGCCAGGAACGGCCTTCCCTAGGGCCTCCTGGTGCAACTGGCCCTGCCAGCACCTCGGCTTGAGCCCAGGGGAACTGCTTACAAACTTCTGTGGTTGTCGGCTACTGAATTAGTGGTTGTTTTGGCTGTTTGGATCACTTGCACTTCCATGTGAATTTGTAAGTCAGCTCTTGAGTATGTTCAATAAGGAACCTCTGATTCTGATGGAGATTGCATCGCATCTGCACAGAGATTTGTGGGAATTAGACATCTTGGCTGTTCAGTCTTCCAGTTCGTGCACACGAAGCTCCTCTTATGTAAGCTCTCTTTAATTTTTGAAGTTTTCAGCATGTATGTCATAGGCTGCTTTTGTAAAATATTCCTAAATGTTTTGTTCTTTTTGATGCTATTGTGAGTTGTGTTAACTTTGCTTTGCTCATTGCTAGTATATAGAAATAAAAGTGATTCTGTATGTCATTTGCAAATGGAGATGGTTTTACTTATTCTTAATTTGGGTGCACACTGTCCTCCTTGCTTAAATAACTTGCATAGACGTTGCAATTCTGTGCTGGATGACTCTGACAAGAGCCAACATCTTTTCTGATTCCTAATGCTTTATGGGAAACTTTTGGCCTTATATTATCAAAGAGTTTCAATATTTATTACATATAAAATATGCTAGCTATGGGATCTTTTTAAATTTTATTTTTATTGGGAAGTCAGATATACAGAGAAGGACAGAGAAAGAGCTTCCATTCGTTGATTCACTGCCCAAGTGGCCACAATGGCCAGAGCTGCACCAACCTGAAGCCAGGAACCAGGAGCCTCCTCTGGGTCTCCCAAAACTTTGGACCATCCTCGACTGCTTTCCCAAGCCACAGGCAGGGAGTTGGAAGGGAAGTGGGGCAGCTAGGATCTGAATGAGCGCCCATATGGGATCCTGGGCATGCAAGGCAAGGACTTCAGTCACTAGACCACTGTGCTGGGCCTAGCTGTGGGATTCTTATTGTTGCTTTAAGAAGTCCTCTTTTACTTCTAGCTCACTGAATATTTCTGTGTCATGGGAAAGTGTTGGAGTTTTTGTCAATGCTTTCTCTGCATTTACTGAGATGTTCATGTGGGCTGCTTATTCCGTTAACAGAATTGAATTAGTTGATTTCTGTGTTCACCCAACCATGTACTGTTCTGGGGTTAAATGACGATGGTGATGTTGACTATATATTTCACCTGGTGATGAGTTTCACTTCCTTGTATGCTATTGAGGACTTCTGCATCTGTAGCTGTCGGGGATATTGGTACATACTTTCATTTTCTTTTAATGCGTTTACCTGGTTTAGTAGCAAGGTGATACTGGCTTTCAAGGGTAAGTTAGGAAGTTCTCTTAATTCCTGTTTTTCGAAGGGTTTGTTAAAGATTGGTATCCATTCTTTTTAAATATTTGAGAAAATCACCCATGAAGTCGTCTGGAGGTAGACGTCTCTTTGTAAGCTTTTCTTTATTCTTGCTATTGTCATCTTGAGTAATGCTAGCAGTTATTTATAGGAATTTGTCTACTTCGTACTGCTTATGTAGTTTCGGTTGGCATACATTCAGATTCCCCTTTGTCTAAAAATTCAGTAATGATGGACCCACATTCATTCCTAATTTCAATAACTGGACTCCATTCCCTTTTTGTTTGGAAATCTAGCTAGAGGTTTGTCACTTTTGTTTATCTTCCGTTCAAGAAGCAATTTCGAGCACTGTTGATGTTGCTGTTTTTCTCTCTCCTCTGTTCTTATTTTGGACTTAGCTTTTATTTTCTGGTCTTGAAAGGTTGGAACTTGAGCTATGGATTTGAGATCAGTGCTGATCAAGTTGTTGGTGCACATTTCCCTCTAAGCCGTGCCTTAGCTGCATCCCCTTATGTTGCTTTGTTGTGTTTTTGTTTCATTCATCTTGTGATCTTTTTTCTTGTTGTTTTAAAGATTTATTTACTGGAAAGTCAAATTTATAGACAGAGCAGAGACAGAGAGAAAAATCTTTTGTCTGCCGATTCACTCCACAAGTGGCTGCAACAGCCGGAGCTGAGCTGATCTAAAACCAGGAGTCAGGAGCTTCTTCTGAGTCTTCCACACTGATGCAGGGTCAATCTCAACTGCTTTCCCAGTCCACAAGCAGGGAGCTGGAAGGGAAGTGAGACACAAACAGGCTCTTACATGGGATCCTAGCATATGCAAGGTGAGAACTTTAGCCACTAGACTACTGTACCGGACCCTCATCTCAGTTTTTTTTTGGAGGGGGGAATAACAATTTTTTTTTAATTTATCATACAACTTTGTGTAGTCTAGGATTCCCATCCCCTCGTTTTCCACCCCCAATTGATTTTTCCCATAATGTCACAACTCTTCATAAGGAGTTGTAGTTCCATCAGTCTATTTAAGTGTGTCCCAATATTCCTGGTACAGACAACGTCAGACAGCCCATTGTCCAGATATGTCCAACACTTTCGTTGGAAGTCCATCTTTTGTTTGTAAACGGAGATGCATGTTGCATTGTGTCTTCACTTCTGGATATGGTAGTCTCCATTTCTCCACCACTGTACATTCTAATTTGCATGATGGATTCCTTATATTAGAGAGAACATATGGTATTTGTCTTGTAGGGGTTGACTTGTTTTATTGAGCATAATGGTCTCTAGTTGGGACCATTTAGTTGCAAATTGTATAATTTCATTCTTTTTAATGGCTGAATAACCATGGAGTAAATGTACCAAAGTTTCTTTAACCACTCCTCTTCGGGTGGGCATCTGGTTTGTTTCCATGTCTTTACTATTGAGATTTGTGCTGGTGCAAGCATAGGATTACAGATCCCCTTCTCACGTGGAGTTTTAATTTCTTTTGTATATATTCCTAGAAGCGGGATAGCTGGGTCATATGGCAGATTTATTTGCAATTATCTAAGCACTCTCCATACTGATTTCCACAGTGGTTGTACTGGCCTACACTCCCACCAGCAGTGAAGGAGGGTGCCTTTCTCCCCACATCCACGCCAGCAGGTGTTGTTAGTTGAGTTCTGAATGTAGGCCAATCTGACTGAAGTTAGGTGGTGATTTTCATTTGTATCTCTGATGGCTAGGGAGCCTGAGCATCTTTTCATATGTCTGTTAGCCATCTGAATCTGTTCTTTTGAAAATTGTCTGTTCATTACCTTTGCCCATTTTGTTACAGGTTTTTTTTTTTTTTCTTGTCTCTGGGTTTCTGAAGCTCTTTGTAAATCCTGGATATTATAAATCCTATCACTTGTGTAGTGTGCAAAAATTTTCTCATCTCAATATTTTCTGAATTCTCCTTTGATCCATTGGTTATCTAGGAATATGCTTAATTTGCTCATGTTTGTGAATTTCCTAAATGTTTTAGTTTTTAATTTCATTCCATTGTCACTGAAGAATATAATTTGAATGGTTCTGGTCCTTTTATTTTCCTTAAAGATTTATTTATTTTTATTACAAAGTCAGATATACAGAGAGGAGGAGAGACAGAGAGGAAGATCTTCCATCCGATGATTCACTCCCCAAGTGACCGCAACGGCCGGTACTTCACCGATCAGAAGCCGGGAACCAGGAACCTCTTCCGGGTATCCCACACGGGTACATGGTCCCAAAGCTTTGGGCCGTCCTCGACTGCTTTCCCAGGCCACAAGCAGGGAGTTGGATGGAAAGTAGAGCTGCTGGGATTAGAACCGGCGTGCCCATATGGGATCCTGACGCATTCAAGGCAAGGACTTTAGCCACTAGGCCACTGCTCTGGGCCCAGATCATTTAATTGTAAAACATTTTATCACTAGTAATAACTTTTGTTTTAATGTCTGATTTTGTCTAATATTAGTGTAACTACTCCAGCTTTCTTAATGACTTACCTATTTTTACTGGAAAGTCAAATATACCAAAAGGAGAGACAGAGAAGAGCTCCACTGATTTCACTCTCCAAGTGGCCACAACAGCACAAAAGCTGTGCTGATCTGAAGCCAGGAGCCAAGAGTTTCTTCCTGGTCTCTCTCCCTTGCAGGTGCAGGGTCCCAAAGTTTTGAGTCATCCTAAACTGCTTTCCCAGGCCACAAGCAGGGAGCTGGATGGGAAGCAGGGCCATTGGGCTATGAATCAGTGGCCATATGGGATCCTGGCATGTGCAAGGTGAGGACTTGAGCCACTGGCTATTGCACCAGGCCCTCCAGCTATCTTTTGGTTACTATTTGCATGGTATGCTGTTTTTAATTCTACTTTCAACTTATTTGTGGTGTTGAATCTAATCCTTGCCATTTATTAGGTGTGTTTTAAACCATTTTCATTTAATGTAGTTACTAAGGTAGGCATGGTCTATCATTTTGTTTATTTTCCATAGATCTTGGTCTTTTTTTGGTTTCTCTAGTTCTCTAATCCTTCTGTTTTAAATATATTTTCTAGTTTAATATTTTAATTTCCCTGTTTTACCATTTTTTTAAAACTTATGTTCTGGGGATAATTTATATCCTAAAACCACCTAATTTGGAGGAACATTATTTTCAATAATTTACAAAACTTTATATAGCTTTATTCGCTCCCCCTATTCTCTAATTGCTTTTATTCTGTGCAGGGTAAATCTTTATACCTTGTAATCCATCTATAGATATCTCTAATCATGACTTTAGGCATTTGAATTTTTAAGTCAAATGTAAAGAATACAATTTTGAAACACGTGTACACTGTCTTTTATATTTACTTATATGCAGTAGTTACCTTTGTTGATGTTTTTATTTCTTCATGTGAAGGTTATTATCTACTTTGTGAAATCTACAGGATTTTATTTAGTATTACATAGGGGGTGTTGCTAGTGATCGATTTTCTGTTTATCAAGTAATGTCTTAGTATTTCTTCATTTTGTCAAGGCAGTTTCCTGGACATGAGATTCTTGGCTGATAGTTTTTTCTCTGTAGCCTTTTCAAAGAATTGCAGATGGAGAAGAAAAGAAGGGTGTTCCTTCTTCTGGTTCCCACCCCAAATGGCTGTTATGGTCACAGCTGGGCTGATCAAAAGCCAGGAGGCAGGAGCTTGTTTGTCGTGGGTTGATGGTCTTTTTCTTTTAGCATTCATTTAGTATTTTGAAATGTCATTCCACTGCTTTTTGTCCTTCATGCTTTGTGATGAGATAGTTCAGCTGGTAATCTTAGAAAGGCCTTATGTATGATAAGTAGTTTCTCATTTTTTTTTTGTTTTGTTTTGTTTTTAAAGATTTCTTTTGTTGTTGCTGGAAAGGCAGATTTAGAGAAAAGTAAGCAAGCTCTTCCATCTCCTGGTTCACTCTCCAACTGGCCATGATGATTAAAACTCAGCTGATCCAAAGCCAAGAGCCAGGAGTGTCCCCTGAGTCTCCCATGCAGGTGCAGGATTGCAAGGCTTTGGGCCATTCTCTACTGCTTTCCCAGGCTATAAGCAGGAAGCTGGATGGGAAGTAGAACAGCCGGGACACTAACTGGTACCCATATGGCATCCTAGTGTGTGCAAGGTGAAGACTTAGCCTCTGGACCACGGCATTGGGCCCTTTCATTGGCTTTGAGTCTTTTTTTGGACCTGGTGTTATGACATAGCTAACTAATCCCCACCTATGGGTGCTGGTTCCTGTCCTGGATTCTCCACTTCTGATCCAGTTCCCTATTAATGGCCTGCAAAGGTCATATACGATGCACTAAGTCCTTGGACCCTTGCATTCATGTGGGAGATCTGGAAGAAGCTCCTGGCTTCGAATCAGCCCAGTTGTGGCCATAACGGCCTTTTGGTTTGTGAGCCAAGAGAGAGAAGATCTAAGCCTTGCCTCTGTGTCTGTAATTCTGACTTTCAAGAAAAATAAGCCAATCTCTCTTTTTTTTTTTCTTGTTAAATAAAGTCTGTTTTTAGCTTTTAGCAGTTTGTGAAGTGTCTTAAGTATAGATCTCTTGAGATTTAACCTATTTGCAGTTCATTGAGATCATCAAACATAGATTAAGTTTTATCAGATTAGGAAAAATTTTGGCCATGTCTCTTCAAATAGACTTTCTACCGCTCTGTTCTTCTCTATATTAAATACATGTTAATATGGTGCTGAGAACCCTGAGATCTGCTGGTTGTCATCTTTAGTCTTTTTTCTCCTTTTATCATCCTCAGAATGGATAATTTCAGTTGATCATCTTCAGCCTTACTAGTTCTATGTTCTGTTTGCCCCGAAGTGATTTTTCAAAATGTATTGTCCTCTCTAATTCCAGGATTTTCATATCTTCATTGATAATCTTTGTTTGATGAAACATCATTCTCCTAATGTTTTAGTTCTTTCAGCATGTTTTGAGGTCTTTGTCCAGTAACTGCAACAACTGGATGCCTCAAGGACTGGACTGTGTCTTTTCTGGGTTTTTAAAATTTGTTTTGTTTTTCTTAAGGCTATTTTTATCAGGCAGATTGACAGAGGAGACACAGAGAAAGATCTTCTGTCTGCCAGTTCACTTCCCAAGTGGCTGCAGCTGTCAGAGCTGAGCCGATCTGAAGCCAGGAACCAGGAGCTGCTTCTCTGTCTCCCATTCGGGTGCAGGGTCCCAAGGCTTTGGGCCATCCTTGACTGCTTTCCCAGGCCACAGGCAGGAAGCTGGGTGGGAAGTAGACGAGAACCAGCGCCCATATGGGATCCTACCATGTGTAGGGTGAGGATTTAGTCACTGAGCCATCATACCAGCCCTGAGGGATTGTTTCTGTTGACTAATTCCTCCCACCCAAGTCTGTCATATTTGTATCTTTACATGTCTTGCATTTTGTTGGAAATTCATTATTTAAAATATATCCTGGTATCAGATCCTCTGTTGCCCCAGAGTTGTTGCTTCTGGTGGTGTTTGAATAGTTTCTGATTCAGTTCTGTGAAATTTGCAGTCTTTGTCACGTGTGGCTACTGAAATCTCCACCAAATTTGCTTAATGGTTAGCAAATGATTGGACATAGGTGAGTCTAACATTTTTAACCAAAAGGGAAGAAAGGAAATGCATCCAGCATTTGCCAGGATGTTCTGTGTATATGCTGGAGAGCACCCCCAACCATCAACCAAACAATCGAGCCCTCCAACTTAGGGCTTTTGCTCCTGTTTACGCAGAGCCTCGGGGTGGTGCAATGGGACCTGAGCTTAGGGTCTCCTAGCCTTTGTCCAGTCCTGTACATCACACGGCCTTCGAGAGCCTCCGGAATATGTGAAAGCTTTCAAAAATCCCAAATGGACTTTTCATTTCTTATTTTCCTCTGAAACTTTTTTTTTTTTTGGTTGTTGCTGGTGTTAGCCCATTGTTTTCCCTGTTCTCCAACCTCTCAGCTGTGAAGTAAAACAATTTCCTCTGTTTTTAACAAACAATTCCAGGGAAAAGACTTTTCACGTCAAGTGAGCTGTAAGTTGGAGTCCTGCAAGGTGGGGCAGTTGAGTGAACTGCTGCACAAGGCAGACAGCTCTCCGTAAGTAGGGCTTTACAGGAGGACCCGTCCGGTCCAGCTCTCCTGGGGCCTGTGGCGCTGCTGAGTGTGCTTCTGCTGGTTCAAGGCTGCCTTGCGCTTGGGGGCGGTAGGAGTAGAGCAAAGCTCAGAAGTTTACTGAGATTCAGTTGTTTTTGTAAGCAAACACCTGCTGACTTGATTTAAAAACCAAACAACGCAGCAATCCTTGCATCCCTGTCTGCAGAGATGAAAGATCGGATTCTGGCCGTTTTTGTCAGCTTTCTGTGTTGGCTCTTCTGGGAGAACTGTTGGAAGTTTCTACTGTGTGTGTGTTTTTTTCCCCTGCTCTCCGCTAGTGTAGGATAAAAAGGACTGGTAAGTCGAGTGATGATGGGAACGAATTACTCCTTGCCTAGGCAAGGAACATGCCTCAGACCTGTGAGTCTGTGGGCTGCGGTAAGCACTCACTGACAGCAGGCAGCACGCAGGGTGCGGCGCGCTGTTCAAGCCAGCTCTGAGCAGAAGGGCAGCTAGGCAGCAGCTCTGACCCAAACATGTGTCTCCTTGCAGATCAGCCTCAATCTGGATGAAATCGTGAGAGGTGTGAACAGCTCAGACCCTGACCTTTGCTTCCAGGCCACCCTTGCAGTCAGGTATTGCCAAGCACACATTCTGCTCTTTGCAGGCTCAGAGTAGCTAGAAGCAAACTCCATAGTCTTGCTGGGTTTCTTGGCCCCAGAAAACTGCCCGTCCAAGAATGGAATAGCCAAGCCCACCAAAAGCAAGGCTACATTGCTACTCCATATCACTACTGAGGGGCAGCCAAAAAACTAGAATGTTCTGTGCTGTCAGAAATGAATTGCTTAATTTGCAATGGCCTCTACAGGAATTTCAGCTCCTGAATAATGCTTCAAGGGGCAAACGGTGCATTGTCATTGCCACGTACAGCAGGCTGACCTCTGGGAAAGTTAAGTCTCTGCTGTTTGCCTCATGTGGCTGTCAGGAACACCAGCAGCCTCTATACTTGCCTCTAGCCTCTCTCCCTTTCATTGCTTAGGAAAATGCTGTCCCAGGAAAGGAACCCGCCTCTGAAGATGATTATCGACATGGGGCTCATCCCCAGGCTGGTGGCGTTCCTGCGGTCATCACTGCCCGTCTTGCAGTTTGAGGCAGCCTGGGCTTTGACCAACATCGCTTCGGGGACCTCGGAGCAGACTCGAGCCGTGGTGGACGCGGGCGCCATCCAGCCTCTGATTGAGCTCCTGAGCTCTACCAGTGCGGCCGTGTGTGAGCAGGCCGTGTGGGCTCTTGGCAACATAGCCGGTGAGACTCGCTCCGGGCGGGTGGAGAGAGGTCTGCCCCTCACGTGTGGCATGCCGCAGGCCTTCTCTGGGTGGGGTGGGGTGGTCGCCATTCTGGAACTGGGCTCAGTGCAGGCACATGGTAATACTGAGAGGCTCAAGGGGAGCTACTACGCAGTTCAGAGCCAAGGTTGTGGTGTTTTCTCATTTTATTTTTTAAGATTTGTTTATTTGACAGGCAAAGTTAGGGATAAAGAGAAATTTTCAGTCTGCTGGTTCACTGCCCAAATGGCCACATGCACCAGAGAGCAGGCCAGACCGAAATCATGTGCTTCTTCTGGGTCTCTTGCATGCATTCAGGGTCCCAGGGACTTGGGCGGTTTTCCGCTGCTTTCCCAGGAACATGAGTGGGGAGCTGGGTCGGAGGGGGAGCAGCCAGACCTTGAACTCATGGAATGACAGCGCTACAGGCAGTTGCTTAATCCACCATGTCAAAACCCTAACCCCAGTCAGAGCCAAGTCTAGAGGCCAAAAACTGAAGCTGAACCCAGCTGATAAAGTTTATCCTGTCACTACAAGCTTCCTGGGAGCAGGAGGGTCCTGCAGCCTCAGGTCTTAATGGTTTCAGGAATAAAAGGCAAGTTTTGGTCCCTGCGGTACGGGTGTTCATGAAGGTTCCTTATGTAACTCCAGGTTCTTAAAGCACTCTGCCTCCAGGGAAAGTTGCTAAGGAAACATAATAATGTCTCTTTAGCTCAGGATAAAAAGTCTTCCTTAAAAACTCAATCCCGGGACCAGTGCCATGACTCAACAGGCTGATTTTCCACCTGTAAGCAACAGCATCCCACATGGGTGCCGGTTCAAGGCCAGGCTGCTCCACTTTCAATCTAGTTCCCTGCTTAAGGTCTGGGAAAACAGCAGAGGGTGGCCCAAATCCTTTGGGGTCCTGCACCCACATGGGAGACAGAGAAGAAGCTCCCGGTTCCTGGCTTCAGATTGGGTCAGCCCTGACCATTGCAGCCATTTGGGGTGTAAGCCAGCTAATGGATGACCATCTCTCTATCTCCTTTTCTCTGCAAATCTGCTTTTGCTGTAAAAATAAATTAATCTTAAAAAGAAAAAAATGGAATCCTGAGACTCACCTCAAGGATTTAGAGCCACGTGTGACATCGCCTATGTGGTCAGGGGGTTGGACACGCCCGGATTCCTGGCTGAAATAAATGAGTGCTCTTCAGCAATGGAGGCTGAGGGAGGGAGGCTCAACTGGGCTCTTCAGGATTTTGGCAAAGTAAGTTCAACCAAATATTAGCAATTTTTAAGTTCAGGGTAGCAACAGCCAACCGTGACTGAGCCGGCAGAAGCAAACGGCATGATTAGGCCCGCAGGGAGTTCAGACATGGCATTAGCCGGCAGAATATGAAACAGCCGCTGGGCAAATGCTCTTACAGGGGAAGCAGGTGTGGCAGGACTGTGGTCTCTCACTTGGCTTGGTTCGGTAAGGAACAGGCCAGGCTGCTAGTATGATATGACTTGGGACAAGCCTTCATGAGGCTTCTAGGGTCTGACAGGTGTATTAGCCCAAGTGGCAGATGACTGTCAACAACAATGCCACCCCAGACTCTATCCTGAGTCATGTCTGGAAGTTACCACCCCATGCCAGAATCTTCTCCATGCAGACCTGGTCCACACTAGTCTTCATCTTCCTGACACACCATGCTGTGGAATGCCACCAATGTTTCCAGCCCACTGCCTAAGCAGAATGCCCACAGCCTCTGTTTATAGCAATTGTCATTGTGTGACACCTGCTTGCCCCCTCAACAGATATCTTGGAGAGGCAGAATCTAGTACATGGCTTGGCTATACACCTACTTGCCAAGCCCAGGAATGAATTTTGCTCTCCTAATCTTTGTGTAGATCCTAAAAAATAAAACCCACACCCACCTCAAGATCCTCGTTGCTTTTCTTGGTTGTCACGTTCTGATCTATTTGCAGGTGATGGCCCCGAGTTCAGAGATGCTGTCATTTCAAGCAATGCCATCCCACATCTGCTGGCCCTGGTTTGCCCAACTATAACAGTGAGTGTCATTCAATGAGGAAAAACCTGGCTAGAGAAGTCTCAGGATTTGGGTATTTGGGGAAATGCTTCCAAGTCGATGACAGATCAGTGACTGCTGCCTGTCTCCTTATCCACAGCGCATAACAACCAGGCCCAGAGTTGAGTATCATTTTGGGTCAAGATTGACCTAAATTTGTCCTGAGGGGCAAATACCGCTGGTGTTTTCATCTTAAAGCCTGTTTATTTTGAAAGCGTTACAGAGGGAGGGAGAAACGGAGAGATTTCATTTGCTGGTTCACTCCCCCGATGGCTGTAGCAGGCAGCACTGGGCCTGGCTGAACAGAGGAGCCAGGATGTTCTGCGTCTCCGATGTGGTGTCAGGAATCCAAGCACTTGGGCCGTGTGCCACCACCCTTCCCAGGTGCATCAGCAGGGAGCTGGCTCAGAAGTGTCGAAGCAGGGACTTTAACTGACAGCCATATGGGATGCCAGTGTTGTATGTGGTGGCTTTAGCCACTGTGCCACAGTGGCAGTCCCCTGATATTTCTTTTAGGGGCATTAGCAGGGGTCCCACGAGGTTTTTCAACTTGGTGTTTCCATCCAAAGGACACCTACAGGTGGAATGGTTTGGCAGTGCTGTTTGTGGGTAATAACAAGGACATGGGTTTGAAGCTTAGACAGTAAGGTGATTGATGTAACACCCAAGATCTCCCAGAACTGGGTTCTAGATTTGCCTCAAGAAACAAAGTCAAGGGTAGGAGAACAAATAAGGGGGTAGGGGAAAACTCCTGGCATGGTGAGCCAGAAAGAGCCCAGCTGTGACTAAGGAAGCTGCAAAGAGGTACAAAGGGCCCAAGCATGGTTCTAGGGGCAGTGGGAGCCCTTGGAGGGAGCGAGGAGGTTTCATTTTCCAGGAAGACCCTCACAGTTGTCTGCTGGAGAGCCAGAGCTGGCCCTGCAGAGGAACGAGAGGAGAGAGAAACCAGGATGCTCCATGTCTCAGGTTAGGCTGTTTCTGTGACTGCTGTCCTGGACAGAGTGGAGAGGAAAGAAAACAGTTTTTGCTGTAGGTGTTGAAGCAAGTTGGAGGCACTGTGACAGCAATGCCAGCTTGATGGTTACGTGGCTGCAGGCAGCTGGATGTTCAGATGTCATCCAGCTGGGCAAGATCAGCTATTGAGGCACTGTGACAACAATGCCAGCTTGGTGGATATCTGGCTGTAGGCAGCTGGGTGCTCAGATGTCATCCAGCTGGGCAAGATCAACTCTCACAGACCTCAGAAAATGTCACCTGACCAGCTGCTTGTGGCTTTTTGAGAGGGGCAATGAGAAAGGGAAGGGAGGAAGAGAGCGCTCCAACGTGGCTGGTTTCCTGCCCAGAGCCAGACAACAGCAACTCAAGCCTTACACATGAGTGGGAGGAATCTCGTTACTTGAGCCATGACCTGCTGCTTCCCAGAAGTGTACCAGTCAGAAGCTGGAATTGGAGGTGAAGCCAGGCCCTTGGCTGTGGGATATGGGCATCCCAATTAGTGGCATATCTTGTAGGCCAAACACCCAATCCCAGCCACTTGTTTGTTTTTGGAATTTTTAAAAATTATTATTTCAAGGGCAGAGAGAGATTCTCTATCCACTTGTTCATTTCCAAGATGGCTGCAATGGCCAGCACTGGGCAAGACTAAAGCCAGGCACTCCAGCCAGGTCTCCCACAGAGGTGACGCAGACCCAGTTACTTGGGTCATCCTCCACTGCTTCTCCTAGGCATGTTAGCAGGGAGCTGGATTGGAAGTAGAGACATCTGGGATGTACATCTGGGATGTTGCCTGGTGCTGCAGGTGGGAGCTTAGGTCCCTGGCCCCCAAAGCATGCCCCACACTTGTTTTCTAAAAGCTTTTCTGATGCGCAGTTCAGTTACCTATTATGTTCTGAGAGTAGTTACAGCAGAGACCTCATGGCCCATGAGGCTGGGAAATGTTTGCTATCTGGTTCTTTACAGAAAAGTTGGCCAACCCTGACCTAGAAACTGGATGAGGATGGCTTGAAGGACAAATGGGAAGCTGTGAAGTAGATGGGGAATGTAAAAACCTTGAATAAACTCAGAGAAATAGAAGTGGGGTGATGGCTACAGAGAGGGGCCAAGGTCTAAGTTGGGGGTGATTTTCCAGACTGGTGGGGAGGGATCCACAGTGGTAAGGGGCTACTGGGTCAGCCAGGGTCTTCGCAGGGAAACAGTGGTGTGATCTAGAGGCAAGGCAGCAAGACCTATCCTATCCTGATGTAGAAGAGACATGTCCTCACAGCGTTAGACGTGGTAGGGCGGGAAGACCTTATGACTCTTACACCATCTGCTTGTCAGTGAAAAACACAGCAGCTCATCCACTGAGCAGAGAACAGAAGGGCATTTCGGAGACCAGAGAAAATCTCTAACACGTGATGAGAAAACAGGAAGCTCATTTTGGATCCTTAAAGCTCTAAGTGATGGCTCCTGCCAAATACCCACCAGAGACCAGGGAGGGCATGCTACCGGTAGCATTTCTGTCTCCCTTGGCTCCCGTCTCCCCGTCCCATTTGCTAGATGCGCTTTCCTTGTTACAGGTCACATTTCTACGGAACATCACGTGGACCTTGTCCAACCTGTGCCGGAACAAGAATCCATATCCTTGCGACGAGGCGGTGAGGCAGCTGCTGCCTGTCCTCTTCCGCCTTCTGCACCACCATGACGGGGAGATTGTCTCGGACACCTGCTGGGCCTTGTCCTACCTCACTGAGGGCTGCAACGAGCGCATTGACCGAGTGGTCCACATTGGGGTCTTGCCCAGGCTGGTAGAACTCACGGCCAGCCAGGAGCTCAGCATCCTGGTGAGTGCCATCCCTGGGCCTGTTGGTCCTGGGAAGGCCCTCAGGGTGGAGTCTGACTTGGGCAGGTTCTGTTCTCCCTGGCTCCAGATCTTCACAATCAACTCTAATTCCATAATGAGAACAAAACTTGTCACTGGCATTACCTGGTCTTTGTCATTCTCTAACCAAATTCTTGACAGCGTTTTGTTCTAAAAATTCCACTGAGTGTTAAGTAACTCACTCTTCTTAATTTGAAAGCTAGAGCAATACAATAAAACACCTAGTGAAAATTGTGTTCAATACAACAAGCTGGGAACCATTAATCTTCTTTCCTTCCAGTGGTTTGTATTCTCAGGTTTCAACAAATTGGCTGTGTGTGTGTGTGTGTGTGTGTGTGTGTGTGTGTGTGTGTGTGTGTGTGTGTAAAGTTCTTTGTAACATTTTAACTTTTAAAAAAATGTATTCATTTGAAAGGCAGAGTTAGAGATGGCTATAATGGCTGGGGCTAGGCCAGGCGGAAGCCAGAAACCAGGAATTTCTTCTGTGTCTGCTGTGTGATGCAGGGGCCCAAGTACAGGGGCAATTCTCCCCTGCTTTTCCAGGCAGTGCCCATATGGGATGCCACTGTTGCAGACAGCAGGTTAACTCACTATGCCACAATGCTGCCCCTTGAATTTCTTAAATGAGCAAAAAGAAAATTTCTCTATCTTTTCCCTCCTCTGTTCTGATATTACCTGACAGAGGAAAGGCAAATTAAAATCATTATCAAATTCTTTGGTAGATTATTAAATGTGATTTACTGACGTAAATTACTTTGCAAGGTAAGTGTGTGAGGGGACTTCAAAAACTTCATGGGAAAAATCCTGAATGATAAATTTATGTTGTTGCAAACTTATGAAAAAAAGATATGCACTGATTTTTTAAAAATACATGTCCATGAACTTTTTGAGACTCCTCCAATGATGCTTAAGAAGCCTTGGTTTCTGCACCTGATGCTGTGTTGTGCAGCCTCGGTGGAGCTCTCTGCTGAGATGACTGTAGTATTTCTCAGTGTCAAGGTTGGTTTAGGGAATAGTGCTGGAGGGCATGGAGAACACAAAGAGAATTTTTAGAAAAAGAAAGCGGTTGCGGCAGCAGTTCTTTTTGGAGCCCATTGCAGCTGCAAAGGCCTGAGGTACCACTTCCCCCTTCCTGCTTGAGTGATAGCGCTGCACGCTATTGGGCAAGCAGGACTCTAGAACCATTGATGGGCTACCACAACCATGCAGACAAGCTCAAACTCAGCCCTCTGAGACGATATATTTCAACCTCCATCCTGCTTGAGCCAGAACCATGGGAAAGCTGGCAAGCATCCTGAGACCATGTGAGGAACAATAAATCAAAGGATCATGGACACTGCCATTGTCCACACGCTGCCCAAGAACCTCCCGGAGGGCACAGGACCTGGTGTCATTGTCACCTTCCACTGTGACGAATGTGCCTTGTTCTTCCAGATTCCTTCTCTCCGCACCGTGGGGAACATTGTCACAGGAACTGAACACCAGACCCAGATGGCCATCGATGCAGGCCTGCTGAAGGTGCTACCCCACCTCCTGAGGCACCCCAAAACCTCCATCCAGAAGGAGGCGGCCTGGGTCCTAAGCAACGTGGCTGCAGGATCTCAACAGCAAATCCAACTGCTGATTGTGTACGACTTGCTGCCTCTCTTGGTGACTCTGCTGAAAAATGTAAGTGGCACACTCAGCATCCACAACAGGACTCCTTCCATGGTCTTGTGTTGAACAAGAAATTGTTCAGAAATTCAGGCACGTGGTCAGGGAACAAATTAACTGAGATCCGGCAAAGACATGAAACGGTAAGTTCTTAGCTTTATCTGCGAGAAAAGGCAGGACAATCCATTCTGAAAAACACATTGGAGAGGTGGAAGGCCAGGCAACTCTGACGAAAGGTGACACCATGGCTCAAACACCCGAGGAAACATTGAACTTGCAGATACTGGTTTACCTCAGGGAGGGGGATGTCCAAGGATACCACCTACCCCACTAGCTGCACAAGGGAAGTTTCAGTTTTGGGAGAAAAAGTGGACTAGACAATGGTGGTGACCTACAGTAAACAAAAAAGTGGTCTTTGCAGTGTATAAATGAAATTAATAGAATGTTCGAACATAAAAGGTAGAAATAGCTTCCCTCTTCACTTGATTCCCACTTCCTTTCCTCTAGAGAAATCACTGTCCTTTAAGGGGGAAAAATAACTGAAAGACAAAGTTATAGGGGTAAGGATAAGAGACAGATCTTCCATTTGTTGGTCCACTCTCCAAACGGCCCCAACGGCCGAGGGTGGGCCAGGCCCAAGCTGCAAACCTGGGATGCTCCCAAGGCTTTACACGTGGATAACAGAGCCCCAAGCACTTTGGCCATTGTCTGCTGCTTTACCAAGCATGTTAGGGAGGTGGATGGGAAGTGAAGCAGCTGGGCATATGAGCAGGCAGAGACTTAACATGTTGCATCACCATGCCAACCCCTTATACTGCCTGTCATTGAAGGAGCGGAGTTTAAAGTACCTGTAGTCAGGTTTCTTTGAATGAGGGGTGGGGAGACGGGTGGTGTCTGCCCCAGCAGCAGGGGAAAGCTGTGCTCCTGTTTTGAAGCCGGATAGCAGGTTCCCAGGTGCATGTCAGGTAGGAGAATTGTAGCGAGAGGAAAGACCCGGCATAGAGTTCACATCCCAGCATCCTCCAGTCTACTGAGCATTTCATAACCTCGTTTCTCCTGCGAGTATGTAACATGGTTTAATAAGAAATAGATAGTAATGTACCAAGGAGTCTTTGCATTTCAAACTGTCCTTCGAACTGTAACCTGCTTGGTTCTATGATTTATTTACTTCATTTTCTGTCTTTGCTTCACTCTGAAGTCACAATTTTCCCCAGTCTTAAAATGGGAATAAATTCTGCCCAAGGTTATAAAAGAATCCAGAATAAATGACTCTCGTGTCCTTGGGCCAAGGATTTTTTCTGAGAGCAAAGGAACTCATGTGGGATGTACTAGTGGTCTTCCCGTGACCCTGACCTTGCTCAGTCTCCTGGGTCACGTGTCTGCACCAGCTGCACAGCTTCTTGTGCAAAGTCTGATTGGATGGGGAAGACGAGGCATGCAGACACGGGTCTAGTCTACACAGATGCGGTAGCTTCATGCTCAGTTTGCCCTACAGCCTGAGCAGTGCGAGGAGTCCAACTCGACTTTAGAACCTTTCTCAGAGACCTCCTTTGAATCTGTCCAGCTGCTTAGCTCCTCTGAGATGCCATGCTGTCATTGAGGGCTAGAAGCCAGAGAGTTCTTTGTAAATTTAAAAGTGAATTGCACAGACATTCGTAGCTGCCACCTGCCCATCAGGATGCTCCTTTGAGGATCTGTAGTGAATGCTTCCTTCCTACAGGGGGAGTTTCAAGTCCAGAAGGAGGCAGTCTGGACGGTGGCCAACTTCACAATGGGGGCCACTGTGAGCCAGTTGTTCCAGCTGGTCTACTCGGGGGTCTTGGAGCCCCTGGTGAATCTGCTCGCCGCCCCAGATCCCAAGATTGTCCTCATCATCCTTGACGTCATCTCTTACTTCCTCCAGGTGAGCTGATCCGAACAGGTGGGTTTGTAAATGGCGGTGTCTCATTTGATTAAAACATGTAACTTTTTGTCCTTAAAATCCAGATAGGATTCTCTATCTTCCCTGATCCCCTCCCTTCCATCCTCTTCATTCAACTGTCCTGTGGCTAGCACACAGGGGCACCTGAAAGAAGGGCCTTAACCTTTTTGGATCAAATGAGTATCTTTATGCCTAAGTATTTTGTTGGATGCTCTGAATACAATGCATAGTGTTTACTGTATTCGGCTCTGGGTATTACTGGAGTGGGGGACAGATATGTCAGGGGAAACGTTATGAATAATGTCAGCCAGATAAGGGGTTTCCCTCAAATTTCAGGGTGGGAAGTAGGTGCAGCTCTCATTCGCAGGAGTCAAGGGAAGCATCTACAAGGAGGAACATCTGAGCAAGGTTCTAAGAGAAGCAAGTCTTGGGTGTCTGGGAGCACTTCCACGAAAGGGTGAAGACGACTGTGTGCCCAGTGCAAGAGAACAGGGGTGGGAAGTACTGGGAGGTCAGGATGAAGGCAGCCAGGGCCAGGTCACATAGGATCTGCTGAGTGAGGAAGAAGCGCCAACTGACAGCTTGAAGTAGGGCAGAAGTCAGTGACCCACATGGCCCAGATGTCTAAAATACGGGCCATGCTGGGGGAGCAGCAGGAAGTTGGCCAAGGGGCGTCCCAAAGGGTCATAGTGAAACTCCCTCATTCAGCTTTGTGGCCAGGGCATCAGACCATAAATCACCCAAGCAGAGTTCTGCAAAAGTGCCAGTTCTGAAATAAAGGAACATTAAACTGATATTTCCGTACTATCTGGAGTAGCTCTAGGCTAGTGTTGCACAACTCTCAGTGGTCATGAATACTGAGTGTCTCAGTCGTCGCAGTCAGGAAAATGTGTGGGTCTGACTCAGGGTCTTACGTGAAGTTGTCAAGCTGTCGGCCAGAACTGCTGCTGTTGGAAGGCCTGAGAGCAGCTGGAGCAGCAGTGTCCAAGGGAGCAGGTGGGTCTCTCTCTCAGGTGTCTGTGCATCATGACTTCCCATGGGTTCATTGAGAGGAAGCCAAGTGCAAGCTTCATGGCCTCACCTTGAAGGTCCCACTGTCATTTCAGCAATATCCTGTAGGTTCTGCAGGGCAGCCCTCTTGAGCACGGTGGGGGTGCACACAAGGGGATGAATACCAGAATTGGAGGCCATGAGGGGCCGTCTTGGTGGGTGGCTGTATCCATAGGCAACTGAGCCAGTTGAGAAGCTCCAAAAAGAGCAGGAACTCAGAAAAGACGCAGTCGGAGCTTCCTTCTCATATAACTGCCATGGAAAGAACTGACCCAAGGCAAGACTGGGTAGAAAATGCAACCCAGTAGCAGGCTTTATGAACAGATCCCTCCAAGAAAGGGTGGAGACCTGGCAGGTGGTCGTCAGAACCGGGAGTAACATGTTCGTGAAAAGCATCCTCTGGACTGTGGACTATCACTTTGTTTGCTTAAGATTTTGTCTTGGGCAAGACTGGGCCAGTCACATCTGCTGGACCAATGGGCAGAGGCACTTGGGGCAGCAGGTGAGGAAGACCCAGGTGGGGCTTCAAAAAGCTTCAGGCAGACAGCTAGTTGCTGGGGGCAGGGGCAGCTAGGAAATACGTTTTGGTCTGCTGACTGCTCGTTCAGGTCTGACATCCCCCTCCAGCGCTCTTGCTCTCCTGGGTCAGAAAGCCGAGTGATGAGATCTTCACTCTGGGCTCGCTTTGAACCTCTGTCCGTGTGCCTTGCCTGTCATCTCCAGGTGAACAGCAGCAGAGGCACTCTGTGGCCAGCAGCTAACACTGAATCTCCCCTGGACAGTGTGGCTGCTTCTGTCTGATCTTAGAAGGCTTGGCCAGAGAGTTGAGGGCCAGAACACCTGCCTTTACAGGGCAGTAGCTGGACATGCTTCCATGGGGTTTGAAGCCATTTCTATGACACGGAAGGAGATGCCTTCTAGTGACATGTTTATAGAAAGAAGGATATTTGGCCCCAAGCCCATCCTTTATGATAGTCTAGAAATACTATATTTTGTACAATGAAAATAAGATCGTATGTTTATAAAGATGGCAGTAAACATGTGTATGTATTTACGTCTGGCTGGCATAAATATATGCACATTTGTACAACAGATCTCATAAATACCTCAAGTGGGAGGAAGATCTTGCAACCTGCAGTCTGGGAAAAGGAACAGTGTGACTCCCCTTTCGGTTGCCCCTGTCCCCCTGGGCCAGGAGAACCGGCAGAGGTCCTGCTGGCCGAGGGCCCCTGCCCAGGCTGCTTTCTCTCCTGTGGCCCCCAGGAGGCAGAGAAGATGCACGAGAAGGACAAACTATGCTTTCTGATAGAAGGGCTCGGCGGGATTGAAAGAATCGAGACCTTGCAGCTGCATGTGAACCAGCACGTCGCGCAGACCGCCCTGAGCCTCATCGAGAAGCACTTTGGCGAGGTCAGTGACTGCAGAGCAGACAGAAGGGTGCCTCCATCCTGGGACATCACCCAATGAGGCAGCGGGCAGGCAGGCTGCCCCATCACACCCCCTGAGCTTCACTAAATGCTTCCCTGTTTGTGCTGGCAGCACCGCCTTCGGGTAGTGGCTTCCCAGCCATCTGAATCCCATAGCAGCTTCACTTTGCTTTGCTGGCTTGTTTCGGAGGGATGTGGGGAAGGAGAGGACATGATGAGTTCAGTTGTTTTGCTTTTTTAATTTGAGCGGCGGAGAGTGTGATATGGAGTGGTCCCATCTACTGGTTCGCTCCACAAATGCCCACAGCGGCTGGGGCTGACTCGGAGATAGGAACTCCATCCAGGTCTCCCACAAGGGTAGCAGAAACCCGATTGCTTGAACCGACACTGCCGCCTCTCCGGGGGCCACATTGGCAGGAAGCTAGAGTGAGGAGCCAGAGCCAGCTGTTGACCGCTGGTGTGGCCAACGTCTCTGAGACTTGACTGCGAGGCTAAAGGTCTGACCCGAGAGTGCAGGCAGCAAAGCACCACCAACTTGTGACCGAAATATTTGCCACTCACAGCATTTTAGCTTGTTTCCAAAGCACAAAGATTGGAACGAACTTCTCAGAAGTCTTCAAGGCTTTCTGTAGGTGCAAGAATAAGTCAGATGGCACTAGATCTTTTGAAAACTTTTTCATAGTACTTGAATAATTTTTCAATAAATAGGACAGAGGGCAACGTCGGGCTAAAGCCAAGAGGCAGGAATTCCATTTGGGTCTCCCACGTGCGTTACAGGGGCCTAAGTCCTTGGGCCATCATCTGCCACCTTCCCAGTGGCATAGGCAGGAACCTGGGTTAGAAGCAGAGAAGCTGGGCCTGAAAATGGGGCTCTGATATGGGATGCTGGCATCGTGAGCTGTCACAGTACCAGCCCCTGCCTCCCCAGACTTGCCTCCTATATGAACCTGATGCAGTTAAGTCATACTTGTCATATTTGTCATTTCATGAGTAATTTGTTTTTCTTAACAAAAGGCTTTCGGGATTCATCCGTCTTGTGTTATATGCCAGAACTTCATACCCTTTTAAGGTTGAACACCAGTGCTTTGATCACAGGACTATAAACCACAGGCACCCATCCTTCCATGCTTCCAGGTGGCTATTGGGAACAATGCTGCTATGAACACGAGTGTGCAAATATCTATTAGAATCCCAGTCCTTTCTAGAACATACCCAGAAACAGCATTGCTATATCCTGTGGTGATTCTCTTTTTTTAATTTTTTAAGGATTTATTTATTTTTCTTTGAAAGACTGATTTACAAAGAGGAGAGCCAGAGATCTTCCACCTCCTAGTTCACTACCCAAATGGCTGCAATGGCCAGAGCTGAGCTGATCCAAAGCTGGGATGCAGGGTCCCAAGGACTTAGACCATCTTGCACTGCCTTCCCAGGCCATAAGCAGAGCGCTGGCTTGGATTTGAAGCAGCTGGGTCTAGAGCTGGTGCCCGTTGGGGTGCCTGCTGCAGGGTGGATCATTGGCCTCACATGCCACAGCGCTGGCCGCTATTTTTACTTGTGGAATAGGCACTGTGCTGCTTTCAGTTTCACATTGCTACCAACAGTACGCAGTGTTCTGCTGTTCTAGTTCCTTCAAGAAACTAACAACACCCACTTACTTTCTGATGTTGTTGTTAGCGGCCATCTTAGTGATATCTCCTTGGGGTTTTGACTCGCATTTATAAGAGACATTTCTCATAGGAGAAAGTGACCTCAGAGTCCTTAAGGGATCAGATGAACACAGGATGAGGGGTTAGCAAAGGGAACGACACTTCTGTTAGGCATCAAAGTGAAGTCTGCCAAATCCAGGGCAGTTACGTCAGTATGACCAAGCTGGGGTTACTACTGATTGGAAGCAGCTAAACTGTTTGGGACTAAGGATGTTGTTAAAGTAGAGAAGACCGAAATGGTGATGAGCATCTTCTAAGCCAATGATTCCTGTGAAAATCTGACCAATAGGAGACATTCTGTAAAGGGAGAGAGATCCCTGGGGTTCTCCTAGAACCTCGAGTTAAAGACATTGGACGTAGAATGGGACAGCTAGGTCCATTATATCCCCACTTGCTGTAAGGATAGTGTTCTATGTGTAACAAAACTGTACCAAAAAATCAGGCAGAGAAGGGATGGGCATTGTAGCACAGTGGCTGTCACCGCTTGAATTGGCTTGAGTCCTGGATCCCGTACTGGTGTTCCAGCTTCCTGGTAATGCTGGGAAACAGCAGGTGATAGCTTAAGCATGTGGGTCCTTGATACATGTAAGAAGGACACAGATTGAGCTCTGGGCTCTCAATTTCAGCTTGGTCGAAATCTTGGTGTTAGTAAACTAGTATATAGAGCCGATCTCTTTCCTCTCTGCCTGTGTGTCAGGCTTTCAAACAAAAATAAGATTTTAATTAAGATTGTTAAAAAAATGACCAAAGAACAAATAGTATATGATTCCATTTTTTCAAGAGTACTTCAAAAGTTCTTGAAAACATAGAATGAAAAGATGTTTATTTTCATATAAAAGTTGAAGTGCACGCATAGTTTTTCTTACATTATGTACATTTTCCATAAACTTTTTGAAGACTCTTATATTGCCAATATGTTATACATATTCAAATCGGCAGACGCAACGGTGATTGCCAGGCCTAAGTAGGAGGGGATGGGAGCATTAGTGTTTGGTGGGGAGCAGGGTTTCAGGTTTCTTTGGGTTTTTCTTTTAGGTATTTAATGGGGCCAGTAGTGTAGGCTGAGCCTCCACCTGTGATGCTTGGCATACCATATGGGCACCAGTTCATATCCCAACTTCTCCACTTCTGATCCAGCTCCCTGCCTGGGAAAGCAGTGGAGGATGGTGCAAGTCCTTGGGCCCCTGTACCCATGTGGGAGACCTGGAAGAAGCTCCTGGCTCCCAGTTTTGGATAGGACCTACTGTGGCCCATTTGGGAGTGAATTAGCAGATGGAAGATTATCTCTTCTTCTCTCTGTAACTCTTCATTCAAATTTTAAAAAATTTAATCTTAAAATATTTGAAAGAGTTGGGGAAAGATCTTTCATGTTTGCTGATTCACTTCCCAAATGGCCACAGTAGCCTAGGCTGGGTCAGGCCAAAGCCTAGAAGCTAGGAACTTCATCTGGGTTACAGGGTTCACATGGGTTATATGGGGCCCAATCACTTGGGCTATCCTCCATTGCTTTCCTAGGCCGTGAGCATTTAACTAGATCAGAAGTGGGGCAGCAGGCGCCTGAAACAACACCCAATGTAGATGCCAGCGTTGCAAGTGACAGCCTAACTTGGCAATAGCACAGCACCAGTCCCAGAGTTTGTTTTACGGGAGGAACCTCTGGAGAGGGATGGTGGTCATGTCACTGAACTGTCAGCTCAGAAGACAGGAAGTTGTTACACCTGCTTCACCACGCGTGCAACCACGTTCAGAGTCCACGCAAAGAAGTACTTAAATGCTCCCCTGTTTTAGTCCCTCCAGCAAATTCGGATCCATAGACAGTGTTCAGGGGGTCACATTTGCAGCAAGAACCCTCTGGAGCTTCAAGGTGGTAACTGTGTCTGTTTTCCCCTGAAGGAAGAAGACAAAGACAGCGTTTTATCAATCCAGGACAAATGCTGAGCGTTCTTCATAAAATGATGGCAGAACACCCCAACTTCTCACCCTCAGGGATAACCTCCTTCATGAAGCAGCTCTCCTGTGTCTTAGCGTCTCACTGATCCAAAGCTTTTAAAATTCCACATTAATAAAAGGTTTAGCACATTACCCTGCTCTGTGAGAACTTGAACTGTTCGTGTCTGGACACCGTGGGGAATTCCTCTCCCAGGAATGTTTGCCTCCATGAGGACCTCTGTGGTTCTTAGAGTAAGAACTTGAGAGCTAAACACAGCGATCTGAAGGAAGTGTGACGTCTCTGGTTCCCCAGACCTGTAAAACAAGTGCTATCTATACACAGACTTTCTTCCTCTGGCCATTCATCTCCTGACATTCTAGAAACTTTTAAGGCGATTCTCTCTAGAAACTCAAAATTCTGCTTAACTGTCTTGGAAAGTTTGAGGGTATGGGTTTTTTTGTTTGTTTTTAATAGTTTAGGGCAGTGATTCGCAAGCATGAGTGTGAATCTATGCCCCTAAAGGGCTTTTGGATCACAGGTAGCTGGGTCCACCCCCGCGAGACTGATTCAGAGCAGAGCCTGAGCTCTGCTGATGCTGATGCTGCTGGTCAAGGCAGCCAGTCAGTGAACTGTGGCCTGGGACCAAAAACAGCCCATTGCCCATTTTGTAAAGATTGATAAGAGGGCCCAGCATAGTAGCCTAGTGGTTAAAGTACTCACCTTGCATGCACTGGGATCCCATATGGGCACTGGCTTGTGTCCCAGCAGCCCTGCTTCCCTTCCAGCTCCCTGCTTGTGGCTTGGGAAAGCAGTCAAGGACGGCCCAAAGCCTTGGGACCCTGCACCCACTCGGGAGACCGGAAGAGGCTCCTGGCTCCTGGCTTTGGAACGGCTCAGTTCCAGTCATTGCGGCCGTCTGGGGAGTAAATCAGCAAATGAAAGATCTTCCTCTCTTTCTCTTCTCTATAACTGACTTTCCAATAAAAATCTTTTAAAAAAATATAGGCATACAGCTATGCAGATCATAACATTTCATTCTACAATGACAGGACTCTGTCAACAGGGACCCCATCCTGCTAAGCTGAAAATATTTGCTATCTGCTTGTTTACAAAAACTCCTCACATAGGGGGCTGATGTGCCAACCTGGCCTATTCCTGGCCAGCCACTTGAGTGTTTGACTGTAAGAAGAAAGACCAACATCCTTTCAGCATACACCTTCCCTATCTAGATGTACAGGTCTGATTGTGCAGAGGTGAGGGGTCCACGTCTTGGGTTTGGCCCCAAATTGCCTGTGTTGCAGGTAGGAGGTGGTGAGCATGCAACCAGAGAGCTACACCCCCCAATACCTGTTGCATTCAGAAAGTTCAACCCTTTTACTCAGATCAGGCCCAAGAGGTGGGAAGGGATTTGCAAGATCAAAGTCAGACTCACTAGCTAAGCCTGTTTTTATGGAGTTATCATAGGTACTACCTAGATGAAGCGCCTGGCTTCAGCGCCTGCCCTGCCTGGGATGTTATGGCCAGCTGGATAGTGCACCAATGGATGGGAGATTGATCACATTATAGCTCTTATATATATTCTACACCTTTCAAATCATTTTTAAAAAAGATTTTTATTGGAAAGTCAGACTTTCAGAGAGGAAGAGACAGAGAAAAACCTTACATCTACTGGCTCACTCCCTAACTGGCTGCAACGGCTAGAACTGTTTCCAGGTCTCCCACAGGGTGCAGGGGCCCAAGACCCTGGGCCATCCTCCGCTACTTTCCCAGGCCACAAGCAGGGAGTTGAGTCAGAACAGGAGCAGTTTGGTCTTGAAGTGGTGCCTGTGTGAAATCCTGGCACCATAGACCAAGGATTAGCTTATCACACCAGCTCCATCAGCAATTTCCATTTTGTATGTAACCTTTTCTTAGTGGCAGGTTAGTTGCAAAAATGGCCCCATCTTTCTGCCTCTCCCTATTTTCATACATCTTATATTACAACTTTAGTTTCCTCACCTCCAATCATTAAGAGATAGAGATATTCTGTTCCTTGAATCTGGTCCCGGCCGTGAACTTGCTCAGGCCAGTAGAATGTGGTGAACACAGGATGATGGTGGTGCTAGCTGCAGCCTAAGCCTTGAGGTCCTCAGTGCTTTTGCTTTTATTGAGCTCTGCTGGCACCATTACCCAGGCCAGAGCTGGCCTGCGAGGTGAGGGGACACCTAGCTAGAGCAACCAGCCACTGACCACGCATGAGACCAAGAGAGCTGCGTCTCTGCACCAGACGTGATGAGAATGTCTAGCGAACCCATATGCTTGTGACCACTAGTAAAAGCTTACGGCTTTATGCCTCTTAGTTTAAGGTACTTTATTACTCAGCAGTAAGCAAGTAATAATTTGACTGATTCTGCCTCCTCTGTCTTTCATTATCTTTACATCTCTCAGATGCTATTTTACTTCATTGTTGTGTCCCGAATAATTTCCCATCTGCTTATTTTCAACCACTTGAAATAGAGCAACAGAAATCTTCAATCCACTGGTTCACTCCCCAAATGCCTGCAACAGCCAAAGTTAAGAGGCAGGAGCTCATTGGGAGGGTGGCATCATCCTTGGATTGGTGAAATCAGCAGCATTTCAAAACTATCTAAACCACTTGGCCAGAACCCTTGGGATATGCACACATTGGGACTCCGGGTTGATATGAGGCGGGTTGATATGGACATGTGGAAAGTCATGAGTGGTTTTCCCCCTTTGCCTATCCCCTTTTCCCAGAAGCAACAAGAAGAAATAGCAAATTTGGAAGCAATGAGTTCACCCAATTTTCCCTAAGCCTCACATCCTTCCCACCCTGATCAAACATGTAATCATTATAAAAAATAAAATTTTTAAAAAAAGATCCACGAGCTCCATCCGGGTCCCCCACGTGAGTGGTGGGGACCCAAGAAACTGCGCCAGCCACCTCTGCCTCCCAGGTGCATTAGCAGGGGGCTGGATTGGAAGTCCAGGAGTCGGGACTCCAGTGTGGAATGTGGAATTGCAAACAGGTTTCCTGGCTGTGTCACACATCTGCCCCGAACACACGTCTTTTGTATTTATATTTTCTTATCTGGCTTGAGGCTGTGTACACATGCAGAAGATCTTCTGAAAGTTCATGGTAAACTCATCATGAAAAAGCAACACATAGATTTCAAAACTTCTTTGCACAAAACAAACTGATTTTTAAATTCCATTTTCCATGAACTTTTAAAAATACTCCTATGTATTTTTTTTAAAGATTTATTTTTATTATTTTTTCATTGGAAAGGCGGATATACAGAGAGGAGAGACAGAGAGGAAGATCTTCCGTCCGATGATTCACTCCCCAAGTGAGCGCAACGGGCCGATACTATGCCGATCCAAAGCCAGGAGCCTCTTCCGGGCCTCCCACACGGGTGCAGGTTCCCAAAGCTTTGGGCCGTCCTCGACTGCTTTCCCAGGCCACAGGCAGGGAGCTGGAAGGGAAGCGGGGCTGCCGGGATTAGAACGGGCGCCCATATGGGATCCCGGGCGTGCAAGGCGAGGACCTTTAACCACTTGCGCCACTGCGCCGGGCCCGAAAAATACTCCTATGTATTTTAATATGGAAACAAATTCTTTTCAAAGATTTTTATTTCAAACATTTATTTTTATTGGAAAAGCAAATAAGATTTATGGAAAAGAACAGAGATAAGAGAAAGATATCCATTCGCTAATTCATTCCCCAAATGGCCTCAACAGCCAGAATGCGGCGATGCAAAGCGAGGAGCTGCTTCTGGGTCTGCCGTGTTAGTGCAGGGTCCTAAGGCTTGGGACCGTTATTCACTGCTTTCCCAGGCCACAAGCAGGGAGCTGGATGGGAAGTGGGGGGGAGTCAGGACATGAACTAGCACCTATATGAGATACTGGCACTTGCAAGGTGAGGATTTAGCCATTGAGCCATTGCACCAGGCCCTCTTTTCATATATATATTCTTCTAAGATCATTTTTATTTTTGATGATTTTTACATAATTGATTAGGGTGCAAAGGGTCAAGGGCTACAGGAAGGTGGGTGAGACCATTATTGCCACATTTTTTTCCTTCCTGTATCTGGGGAAAAGGGGAGGTAAGGGGAGAAGCCACACCCAGCCTCCCAGCTGCATCTGCACCCTGGGATGGAGGACAGCCACTCAACACCATCCCAGGGTCTCCAATGTGGGGCGTGCTCTGAGGGTTCTGCTCAAAAGGTTTTGATAGTTCAACAATTCTGAATTACTGCCAGTCTCACCACTCCAGTCATGCCCACTACACACTCGGCCCTCATACAGATCAGTGGGAGCAGCCATCTAGTCAGAGCGACCCACAATAACCTACACCAGGCCCACCCCTGCCCTGATCTCTATGCTTGCCAGTATGTACAGCAGACTGGTCCAATTTGTCCCATATCTCATACATGTTAATGGGCAGTGAAACCTAGTTCAACCCAACTAGTCCTACTATCCAGCCACACACGTGTTGGCAAGGTGCCACTCTGTCTAGCCATGCCTGTCCCTGTCCTGGCTCTTATGCTTACCAGTTAGAGTGGCGACTAAAGAGGGAGGTGCTGACTATTTTTCTAATGACCCACTCCCATTCCAGGATCTTGCACTCTCCAGGTAGTTCTGCAGTATAGGTTGGCAGAATTTGCCCCCTGTGCCAGCATCTGCCAGCTGATGTTGCAACAAAGCCCAACCAACCCACATCCACTATGGCTTATGCATGCACCAGTAGGAATAGTCAACCCAGCCTGGCTTTTCCCTGTCCAGCTCACATGAGGCCAACAGGTGTTGCCTTACCCAGTCTGGCCTACTCTGCCTCCATTGCAGCCCTCATGCTCACCAGTGGGAATAGTAACCCAGCATGGGAGCCCCACTCAGCCCCATTACCGTGTTCACCCTCTCCCAAGTTTTGCATGTGCTGGTTGGATGCTGCAGCCTAGTCTGGCATGGCCCACCTCACCTCAGCTTTTGCCAGTAAGTACTGTAACCTGGACGGACCTGGCACACCCCCAATTCCAGCTCACGCTGGTGGGGGCTACAGTCTAGCTTAGCCCAGCTCAACCAGCCCCCAGTCCTGGCCCTCATGTGAACTGGTTGGTATTGTGACCCGCCCGACATGACCCAAATACCTTTCTGG